ATATGTATATATTGCTTATCTGTTACGATTCTGAATACCTACCCGTTGAAAGTGATGGAAAGGTCTCTGTTTTTCCACCAAGTCCCATGTATATAATGGCAAGGAATCCGAAAAATAAAGCAAGTACCACTACCAAAATTACAGATACCATATTGTGGTTATTTCGTATATCTTCTCTATTTGCGGATGATGGTTTAAATACTCTGTTCATTGTTTCTCGAGATCTATCGGTGAATGATGTTGCATATCTGGAACTGAAGAAAATTTATTTACATAGCTCTATAAATATATTTTGTTTAATACAATTTACAATATAATTGACGTAACAATTGACAGAACTAATATACCGAGATTAAAAATTAAAGCATTAACTGATTCTCGTCAGTATTTTAAATAAAAAATCATTTGCAAATTAATGTATATTTTTCCCTACAGTCTTTTATTACAACTCTGATATATAAATTTTATAAAGTATATACATACCCTGAACTAGATGTTGGATGCAATGGTCTTAGAGAGGAAAAATGACCATTAGAATCTTTTTCTTTTAGGTCTGGCAAATTTGAGGTAAAACGCGACGGTGGACCTAAAAATAAGATAATGAATCGTATATGAATAATAATATAAACTATATATATAATTTAAATTTAAAAGAACTTACTTTTTAAGCTAGACAAAGATGAAGTTGGTAAATTGACAGATGATCTTGAACTAAGTCTCCTAGTAAATTCTGACAAAAATGGTGTTTCATAATTTGTCAAAAGATCTCTTTGATTTGTGTCTAACTTTGTACATACATCTTCATTGACCGATTGTATTGGAGAAATGTTTGAATCGAAGAGTGATTCATTATATTTGTTATCTTTTATCGTATGAACAGATCTTGATTTTGACTCATACGACTTTGGAACTTGATCCTGATCAGAGACATTATGCTCATACGTTCTAGGCTCATGAAGTTTTCCAACACTTGACAAATATTTAGATGGAGAGTACGATTTAGTTACTTCTTCAACAACATCTGAATCTGAACCAGTCTCCAAGCCGTCACTTAAGGTTGATATCTTGTTAGTTTTTGTATATTTTTTATGAGTAGTTTTTGTTACTGTACGAGTCGTAAATTGCAAAGAATTATCATAATCTAATGCTGCAGGATCTTTAAACTCTGAAGGTATTGCTTTGTCTTTAACTGGACTCTTTGATATATTTACTCCTGAAGATAAGACAGCTGGTGGTGGCATTGGATTTGCCAATGTTTGCCTTCTAGCATTGGCTATGGTTTTTTTCTTTTTATTAATCGTTGAACTTGTGTCATCATCTGTATCCTCACTGCTGTATCTAAAATTGTAATTACAAAATTTGTTAATTTATTTACCACTTTAAAATAATGCATAATCATACAGAGGTGTGTCATAGAAATGTATTTTTTACTTAAAGCAAATAATAATCAATTGAGAATTTTCCATACTTATTTAAACGATATTTAAATATAATGGAAAAACTGAATAAAGGAATAACGCAATAATTTAAAAAAGCATAAAAATATCGCTAGAATATTGGAGTAAACTAAAAGTACCTGGCAGCTAATGAATGCCTCGAGCCTGTACCACCTCGACTTTCCATGAGATTTTTTAGCTTCTTTACGAGAATCTTTCTAGTGGTCTGCGTTACCGGGCCCACTGGATACCCATATTCCATTAATTTACTACGCAATTCCGCGTCGCTCAGGGTATCCAGCGACATGTTGTTTATCAAAAGAATCACTTCTCTTGAAAAAGCCCGGTAAAAATGTTGCCTCGTGTACGAAGCCCCTTACTGGCACTTCTATGAAACGTAGTTATGAGTGTTGTCTAAAGGTAGTCATTCAATTTGAAAAATTCACCCTATCATTAAATTGCACGTACGTCACCTCTCAGGATATCATGAATGTTCAACCATAATACCTGAAGAAATAGAAAATGACTTTAGTTACAACTAAAAAATGGCGCAATTTTCTAACGGTCACAATCACGCGCATACTCGTTTAACACCATTTCACGCTGTTCAACCCTGTCATCCATAGTCATAGAATAAGATTTACCAAGATAACCGAATTCGATAAGTTAGCTCTTATCTTCGATCGTACAACTTTTCATTCATTTAATGTCAAACCTGTTTCTTTTCTTGCGATTTATTATATCGTTACTTTCAATGACAATGTAATGATTAAATTCTGCATTTACGCAGTTAATATTCAAAATATTGGAATTGAGCGGATCGAACGAAATTTTATGAGCGAGTTTCACATCATTCTTGTGAATTTGTGACTTTCGGAACGGTATATTTCAGAATGTAAATATAGGTATACTTACTTGCTAAAATAATGTTAATGCTCATGTGCTAAATATAGAACGCACATGCAATCGCGAATTATGCGCGTAGCTTTTATTACGAAGAAAAAGTAACGTTATGTTATAAATAAATATTAACTGATGTTTATGGAATTCTGGAATTTTTAGGAAAATCACTAAAAGAATGGAAGCTTGAACAGAATTTCCCCCTTCGTTTACTGTATTAAATATATTCTTTTAACGTAGTGTGTGCGCGCGCGTAATGTGTTCACACACACACACACAC